AGAGAAATGCATGAATCTTAGACTGAAGAAAGAGGGGCAAGTTAAGCCAATGTTTGGCCTAAAAGCCGGATTAGGCTGCATACTTCCCTGAACCTCTGGTTATATATCTCTGGGAGAGAAATGCATGAAGCTTAGACTGAAGAAAGAGGAGCAAGTTAAGCCAATGTTCGGCCTAAAACCCGGATTAGGCTGCATACTCCCCTGAATCTCTGGTTATATATTTCTGTGTTCCCTTCCTTGGTCTCCCTTCGGGGTGACCCTAGGTTGAACAATCTTGGCTGAGCCAGGGCGAGGAAAATGATATTGTGGTCCCCCTTTGGTTAGTTTGGTTGGCACCATCGTCCACGTATGTGGTTTTTTATGGGATGACAGGCGAGAACAAGGGGCCTTTTTTATAGAGGGAGAGAGAAAGTCTCTGCCTCCATGTGCTCACAAGTCTTACACATTCAGCTGTGTGCCGGGAAGAAAGGTAGTAAAAGGTAGAAAGAAAGGAGAAATTCAATGAAAATAGACGCATTGAACGAACCGGGCTTGGGAAGAGCAAGGTTTTCATCAATGCCCTGGTGAATCCTTAGTTAGGACAAAGACATCGAGTTTGTAAGGGCGCAGGTGGTTAAACGCAGGTCCACCGCACAGTCCTAAGTGGGTTTACTCGGAAACAAACTTGTGTTCCATTATGGATCGGGCTCCTGCAATAAGGAACCTTTGGATTTATTATTTTCTCTATTTTTCTCCAAAATATCCATCATCCACCATGGTTTTGTGATGCTGGCTGTCTCTGGTAGCCTGGATAAGCAAAAGCAGAGGTGTAGGTTTCCTCTGCTAAACGATCTCTCCTGGTAGCCGTTAATCTAAATATCATGGTGCAGACATCTTTTACAGCTTTTTAAATGAAGAAAACCCTGTTTTCTTTTGCTGCACCATCGGCAATTGATTGAGCAGCCTTCCCCACGGAACTAGCTGTATTGGGCTACAAACCCCATCATCCCCTGTCAGGGGATTATAACACACACCCCCGAGTGCAACTTGGTTGGTTCAGGCTGTGATCGAGCTGCCATCCTCGAAGGATAAGAATCATAGTGGTGAAACTGGCTTATCTTCTACCTGGAATGCTCTGTATTTAGAGGCTAAAATCCTATTAGTTATCTCTGTAAACCTCACGGAAACGGTGTAAGTTTTGGGGGCAACTGGCCCCAAGTTAAGCTATAGGATTAGCCAATTCACACAAACCAGCTCACCCTGACTTCTGAATGGGTGGCAGAGTCACCCTGTGACACCAGTATAAAATTGAGAACGAGATCTGATCCATGGGATAACAGAATGATAAAGCCAGAAGGGACCCTAAAGGTCATCTAGTCCAACCCACTTGCTAAGGCATCCTCGGAAACCCAATTTTTAACCACAACCTCCTTTCTTGTCCCCATCTGTCAGTTCCAATCCAAGCCTCTGTTTTCCCAGTGCTGGTTTCTTTTCTGTGTCTTTATTCCATGTGAAGTTGTTTTTCCATCTGGGTACAGTTTCCATATTTATAAAGTTCCGACCTCCAACTTAAGTTTGCAGCAGTTGGTTGGAAGTGTCATTCACGCAGCACCTCACCCTCAGATCATTTTCTTTCTCTTATCACTGACACAATTAATCCAGAAATTAAAGACGGGAAAATGCCAGGTACCAGCATTCATAGGGCGAGCCCGGTTATTCAATTTTTACGAATTTTGTGGCACCTTTAACTTTAATTTTAGCATGACCTTTCCTAGCTGACAGCCCTGTTTCTGAGATACCTGGAGTGCCATATTATTGATTATTCATTTATTTAAAGCGTTTCTGCTCTGCGTTTCTCCCCAAAGAGTTTCAGAGTTTGATATTCTGTCCTCTCTGTGGGAGAAAGAACCGCCTCTGAGTTCATGCAAAGATAAAGAAATATCTTTAAAAGTGCAGTGAATGTTTTGGCTTTATATTCCCCCTGAATCTACAAGTTTTAGATACAAACGTTTGGTAGACCTTCCCTGTGCCGCCGCAGTCTACCTTTTAATGCTGTTCTCTTGTGGCTCAAGAAGGGAAGAAGAGGAAAACAGCCGGTTCTGTTGCACGCTAGTGCCAGGAATGTAAGGGGTGTGTTAGCCCACACGCGTGTAGGTGTAAAAGAGCTGTGGATGTCAAAGGCACACCTGGCTTGATTTCCAGATGGTTCTCTTTGGCACACCAGCTGTGCTCCTTCTGGGATAAATCGAATGCCGGTCACCGCCACTCAGACTTTGATGCCACGTCTCGGCTGAAACGCGGCGACGTCTCCTACGATGGGAGGAAATGGGCTTTGAAGAGCATTCAGGAATGACAGCCGGCATCAGCCATCACTGCCAGACTGGTGTCAGGGGGATCGGTGATTTAGAAATAGCACTAGGATGATGTTTGATCTCTAGTGGCAAACATTTCTCTTCAGGCTGGTTATAACAACTGGGTGCTGTTCCCTTTCCCCCTAAATATCCTTCACACCCAAGGCTGATAGCAAGGGAGCTGCACATCCCCTGTGGGCTCATGTCTGAACTTTAAAAGAGCTGTCCAAGGCGCTGGACCTTTTCACTGATGGATTCAGCACCATGGAGAGCGCAGGAAAGCACACTGAGGTTCTCCAAACCTCTGAACCTTTTTGGCCGGATATGGCTGGGCACTTTGAATGAGTCAAGTTCGGGTGATAACCGGCGCAGCTGCTCTCTCCCTCTGTAAAACCAGAGGCATCTGTTTCCAGCCTTTGCCTCTCCTCCCTGCTGCCTTTTGTGTTCCCGCTGTTGTGTTTCAA